ATTCATTACAGCTGCCACTTCAATTTTCTACGCTACACAGTCACACGCCGGCTTACTACGTTTTTCTACTTATTTCGAACAGATTCAGCTTGATTTTACTTGTCCTTCGACTTGTCGGTGGCGTCCGACTTGGTCTCCTTCATTGCCTTCGACTCCGTCTTGCTCTCCTTCTTGACCGACTTGACGTCGGCAGCATCCGTGGCCACAGTCGCAGACTCCTTCTGACCATTCGCAGTCGCAGATTCTTTCTCACCACCAGTAGCACCGACACTCGCTGTGGCCGACTCATAACTAAAGTAGCCCGGGTACCCGTAGCTGGAGTAGCCGTAGCCGCCATAACTGGGGTAGCCGTAAGAAGAGTAGTAGTCCGGGTAGTACCCATTTCCATTGCCATACTCACCATCGTACGACGAGTAGTAGTCGGGGTAGTAGCCGTATCCGTTGCCACCACCATATGACGAGTAGTGATCCGGGTAGTAGTCGTTACCGTAACCCTTGCCAGAATTGTAGTAGTCGTTGCCGTGACCGTTGTAATCATCGCAGTCGCCTCCATAGCTCTTATAGCTGTAGCTGTAGGCGCTACCATAGCCCTTGTAGTCGTCGCCGCTACCGTATCCGTAGCCTTTGTGCTTGTAGTCGCTGTGCTTATAATCATCGTGGCCGTAGCTATCGCGGCCACAGTCATCGTGACCATAGTCATCATGACCATAGCCGTGGTGGTCGTGGTTGTGACCATAATCGTCTTTGCCGTAGCTGTAGTCCGAAGACTCGGTAGCCTTAGTGTCCTTATAATCGGTAGCCTTGGCGTCCTTACCTTCCAGGCGACGACGGTAGTAGTGCGGGTGGTCCTTCTTGTCGTGGTGGTAGTGTTTCTTGTGGTCGTGGTCGTGCTTGTGCTGGTGGTGGTCGTAGTCCTTGTACGACCCGAGTTGACGACGCGGGTTCATTCTAGTAGCAGCGTCAGTTGCATGCAGGGTTGAAGCAGCGACACACAGGCCCACTATGGCGAGAAATTTGGAGTGCATCTTGTTGGGCAGGTGCAAAAGTAGTTGATGGAGCTGCAAGTTGGTTGTCGAGTGTCAGGGAGGAAGCGAGATGACAAGTGAGAGAGCGAGGAGGAGTCCGATCGAGCTGTGGTCTGGGTGTCGATGTTGCATCAGCCATCGTGGTCACCTCTCGTCGTGGCATTGTCTCTCTTCGATCGCTGTGATTGATCGGGAAGACGATGAAAGAGAAGCGTTGAGAGAATCAGTCGGGTCAACAATAAGTGATAGACTGCAAACATTATGTATGCAGCCATCGTTGTTTAGAAAAAGTATACTTGAAGTATATTAAAATTAGAATGCAAGATTACGCGAATACATCTACTTTTTCAAAAGCTACTACTACTATTCCAGTAAAAGTAATCAACCAAACTACTACTACATCAGCAAAGATTTCGACTACTACCTCAATAAAAGTGTCATTCCTTCAGCGACTACTACTACTACTACTACTCAAACAAGGTCTACAGTACTTTGAAGTACATCGTAAGGCTCTACTCTTACCGTTGCTGCCCAACCACCTGTGCAATATGATAATCTGGTGACCGATATCATTTTAACCGATCACATCCATTGGCTTTGTATTCCTTACAGCTGCCACTTCAATTTTCTACGCTACACAGTCACACGCCGGCTTACTACGTTTTTCTACTTATTTCGAACAGATTCAGCTTGATTTTACTTGTCCTTCGACTTGTCGGTGGCGTCCGACTTGATCTCCTTCATTGCCTTCGACTCCGTCTTGCTCTCCTTCTTGACCGACTTGACGTCGGCAGCGTCCGTGGCCACAGTCGCAGACTCCTTCTGACCATTCGCAGTCGCAGACTCTTTCTCGCCACCAGTAGCACCGACACTCGCTGTGGCCGACTCATAACCAAAGTAGCCCGGGTACCCGTAGTTGGAGTAGCCGTAGCCGCCGTAACTGGGGTAGCCGTAAGAAGAAGAGTAGTCCGGGTAGTCTCCATTTCCCCACCATCGTACGACGAGTAGTAGTCGGGGTAGTAGCCGTATCCGTTGCCAACACCATATGACGAGTAGTAATCCGGGTAGTAGTCGCCACCGTAACCCTTGCCAGAATTGTAGTAGTCATTGCCGTGGCCGTAGTAATCATCGCAGTCGCCTCCATAGCTCTTATAGCTGTAGCTGTAGCCGCTACACATAGCCCTTGTAGTCGTCGCCGCTACCGTATCCGTAGCCTTTGTGCTTGAAGTCGCTGTGCTTATAATCATCGTGGCCGTAGCTATCGCGGCCACAGTCATCGTGACCATAGTCATCATGACCATAGCCGTGGTGGTCGTGCCCGTGACCATAATCGTCTTTGCCGTAGCTGTAGTCGGAAGACTCGGTAGCCTTGGTGTCCTTATAATCGGTAGCCTTGGTGTCCTTATCTTCGAGGCGGCGACGGTAGTAGTGAGGGTGGTCCTTCTTGTCGTGGTGGTGGTGTTTCTTGTGGTCGTGGTCGTGCTTGTGCTGGTGGTGGTCGTAGTCCTTGTACGACCCGAGTTGACGACGCGGGTTCATTCTGTTATCAGCGTCAGTTGCATGCAGGATTGAAGCAGCGACACACAGGCCCACTATGGCGAGAAATTTGGAGTGCATCTTGTTGGGCAGTTGCACAAGTAGTTGATGGAGCTGAAGGTTGGTTGTCGAGTGTCAGGGAGGAAGCGAGATGACAAGTGAGAGAGCGAGGAGGAGTCCGATCGAGCTGTGGTCTGGGTGTCGATGATGCATCAGCCATCGTGGTCACTCTCGTCGTGGCATTGTCTCTCTTCGATCGCTGTGATTGATCGAGAAGACGATGAAAGAGACCGTTAAGAGAATGAGTCGGGTTAACAATAAGTGATAGACTGCAAACTGTAGTTATGCAGACATCGTTGTTTAGAAAAAATATACTAGAAATGCAAGATCACGCGAATATATCTACTTTTTCAAAAGCTACTACTACTATTCCAGCAAAAGTAATCAACCATAGGACTACTACATCAGCAAAGATTTCGACTACTACCTCAAAAAAGTGTCATATCTTCAGCCACTACTACTACTACTACTAGTACTCAAACAAGGTCTACAGTACTTCGAAGTACATCGTAAGGCTCTACTCTTACCGTTGCTGCCCAACCACCTGTGCAATATGATAATCTGGTGACCGATATCATTTTAACCGATCACATCCATTGGCTTTGTATTCATTACAGCTGCCACTTCAATTTTCTACGCTACACAGTCACACGCCGGCTTACTACGTTTTTCTACTTATTTCGAACAGATTCAGCTTGATTTTACTTATCCTTCGACTTGTCGGTGGCGTCCGACTTGGTCTCCTTCATTGCCTTCGACTCCGTCTTGCTCTCCTTCTTGACCGACTTGACGTCGGCAGCGTCCGTGGCCACAGTCGCAGACTCCTTCTGACCATTCGCAGTCGCAGACTCTTTCTCGCCACCAGTAGCACCGACACTCGCTGTGGCCGACTCATAACCAAAGTAGCCCGGGTACCCGTAGCTGGAGTAGCCGTAGCCGCCGTAACTGGGGTAGCCGTAAGAAGAAGAGTAGTCCGGGTAGTCTCCATTTCCATTGCCATACCCACCATCGTACGACGAGTAGTAGTCGGGGTAGTAGCCGTATCCGTTGCCAACACCATATGACGAGTAGTAATCCGGGTAGTAGTCGCCACCGTAACCCTTGCCAGAATTGTAGTAGTCATTGCCGTGGCCGTAGTAATCATCGCAGTCGCCTCCATAGCTCTTATAGCTGTAGCTGTAGCCGCTACCATAGCCCTTGTAGTCGTCGCCGCTACCGTATCCGTAGCCTTTGTGCTTGTAGTCGCTGTGCTTATAATCATCGTGGCCGTAGCTATCGCGGCCACAGTCATCGTGACCATAGTCATCATGACCATAGCCGTGGTGGTCGTGCCCGTGACCATACTCGTCTTTGCCGTAGCTGTAGTCGGAAGACTCGGTAGCCTTGGTGTCCTTATAATCGGTAGCCTTGGCGTCCTTACCTTCCAGGCGACGACGGTAGTAGTGCGGGTGGTCCTTCTTGTCGTGGTGGTAGTGTTTCTTGTGGTCGTGGTTGTGCTTGTGCTGGTGGTGGTCGTAGTCCTTGTACGACCCGAGTTGACGACGCGGGTTCATTCTGTTAGCAGCGTCAGTTGCATGCAGGATTGAAGCAGCGACACACAGGCCCACTATGGCGAGAAATTTGGAGTGCATCTTGTTGGGCAGTTGCAAAAGTAGATGATGGAGCTGAAGGTTGGTTGTCAAGTGTCATCAAGGAAGCAAGATGACAAGTGAGAGAGCGAGGAGCAGCCGATCCGATCTAGCTGTGGTCTGGGTGTCGATGTTGCATCAGCCATCGTGGTCACCTCTCGTCGCGGCATTGTCTCTCTTCGTTCGCTGTGATTGATCGAGAAGACGATGAAAGAGAAGCGTTGAGAGAATCAGTCGGGTCAACAATAAGTGATAGACTGCAAACTGTAGTTATGCAGACATCGTTGTTTAGAAAAAGTATACTTGAAGTATATTAAAATTAAAATGCAAGATTACGCGAATACATCTACTTTTTCAAAAGCTACTACTACTATTCCAGCAAAAGAAATCAACCATACTACTACTACATCAGCGCGTACTGTAATTCTTGGTTTCTACTCGATATCGTAAGATTCTACTCTACCGCTGCTGCAATTGGAGCCTTAACCACACGCAAACAACTTAAGCAATCTAATAATTTAGGGACCCATATCACTTTAACATGGCAAATGCGGTCACATCCATTTGCTTTGTATTCCTAACATCTGCCCCTTTAGTTTTCTACGCTATACAGTTCAACGCGGGCTTACAACGTCTTTCGCCCATAGACTACTTTTCTCGAACATTCAGCTTGATATTTCTTTTTCGGTGAATGTCACTTTCAAGTGTTAGCGAGTCCGGCTCAAGTGTTGAGCTGGACGGAGCCGCTTCTGGAACTAGATACAGTACTCAGATTTTAAAATTATTTCGCGTTTTGACTCTAGTCGATGTTGCCCGAGTCTTCAATAATGACGTTGGCGAATGCGTCGTCAAGAGACGAGAGCTTGTCCATTTCCGCTGCATGGGAAGCTTTAGAGCTCCACATGTTGGGCGGGTACGCAATGTCGTTGTCCACTTCTCGCTCAATCATGACGACGTCCCCTGTGATGCTGATCATATTGTACACTTGGTTCCGGTACAGTTGACTGGACTCGATGGGTACGAGTCGGAATGTCAACATGGCGTTACCGCCCAAGGAGCGTACGTGCGCTCGGACAATAGCGATGGCCTCACTCAGGAACAAGTGGTAGAAGGCTCCCAATCCGCCACTCTCTCGCACTGTCCAGCTCTCCTTAATAAAGTGCAGCGTCACTCGACCGAGGTATCGTGTCACGTGAGCACCAGGAATGTATCCGAGCGGCGTCAACTCGATCCATTCGCGGACGTACGGAGCTGGTATAGCTGCGGTCGTTCCAGGCATCATGGGGTTATTCAATCGGTTGTGTGAAAAACTTCGAGTTCGAGGCATGTGGATGTGCAGCTTGGACGGAGAAGATTTTCCAGACAGCGGGATGTCATGCACCGCTGCAGTCGACGCAGTTATATCGATGGATTCAGCGTGTGTTTCTTCCATGCCAAGAGAAGTTGCAGCGTTATTTGGAAGACTCTCGAGTGGATCTTCCCAGTTCTTCTCCAGTACAGCCATGCCACTTAGAACCACTTCAAGCTACAGACAACAAGCATTAGTCTTCAATACTGGTAGATTTTAGTATAGTAATTGATGCACGTACCATCGTTTCGGATGCTACTGCTACTCGAGTCTTCAAGCCGCAGATCGCACAGGGAGCATACAAACGCACCTTGAACAGCAGACTATATAACCCCCACACAAGTCAGCAGTGCTTCTAAACATCATCGAAACGTAGAAAAAAGTACCTCGCGAAGAGCTCTTTAAACACAACAGAGAGCAGTTCATTGAGACGTGTGTCACGCATGCGATCTTCATCCCACTCGACTCGCTTCATGGACACAATCAAGTGCACGTTCTCCCCCGGCGTAAAGTCACCCGGAAGACGATCCGTATTGCACATGTAGATACCCTTAACAGCGCAGCGTTAGTGGCCATAACTTCGATATCACAAGTCACATACCTCCGGTAACTCCTGTTCCAGCAACACCGACATGAGGTCTTCATCCGTCTCATCGTCGATTTCCAGTACAAAAGTCTCCTTCGAGTCGCTGAAGCCATCGACGAACGCTTCTTCTTCCGACTCGGAGCTCGATTCGGAAGACGAGCTCAGAGTCTTCGAGTCATTGTCAAACGAGGTCTGGGACGCCGGGGCTGGAGGAGTCGTGTCACCATCCGAGGCTTCCACTGTCGCTGCATTCAGCGTCTGACCGTCATCAGGAGACGGCTGTGCTACTTGTCTCCTTCGCGCACGTCTTGATCGGGACTGCGTGTGTTGGAACAGACGCTTGGAGCCCTTCGCAATGTCGTCGTCCTGGTCGGAAAGCGACGTGCTGGCTTGGAGCTGGTTCCGCGCACTCCTGCCTCCGATATAGTATTCATATTCCGGTTGAACGATGCAGATTTGATCCCGGTGAAGCTGTATCAATAATACAAAAGTTAAAATAAACTATATAAATGTGTTGCTTTAGACATAACGTACTCTGTCTTTGTTGAACGTGCTGAGCTCTTCGATCTGAGCTTGAAGCTGAACAAGACGTCGATCTTCCTCGTCTTTCACCTGATTAAAACAGCATAAGTCACTGTTCCTTGACAGCACAAGAAAAAAACTAAGCGTACATCGATGTTTCGCTCGATGTGAAGTGTTGGGGGAGGTGGGAGAGCAGGCAGATACAGACCAGTACCAGTAATAACACCGACGATTAGAGACCCGCCGATCTGGATCTGCGAGTCAAACGCGAACACCGCGTTCACACCGAGCACTTTCATCTTCACGATGAGCTGAAAAAAAGAAGAAAACCCTCTAAAATGAGTATGAAAGATGCGAAGATGACGACAGTCGCAGGACGTACTTGGCGATAGAGTTCGTATTCGAGGAATGGCAGTGCGTCCGACACGATGGTGGCGTTAACGTCGCCTGTTCCTTTCCTCCGCTGACGACACACGCGTGCTTGAATGAATGTCCCTTTCCCCATCATGGCAAGACCAGCAGGAGGCTCAATGGACGCGATCATCATCTCCGGAACCCACTTGTTGCCGCATACACCACAGCGAACCATCCGCATACTGACAAGATACATTCAATGTGAGTACTAAGTAGCCATACTCGATAGCAGCAAGTGTAAAAGCGTACTTTGAGAAGGGCGCAAGTGAGCGCGAATACGGGATGTGGCACAGAAGACAGGGCGACTTGGAAACCCGGCTTCGTCTGTTTAATTATCAGCATTCAACAGCGTTAGAAGGGCTCTTTTACTCCGCAATATAATGGCCACATACCTCGGTTTTGTCCTTGGTGGCATCGGCTGATATGTCGTGTACGAGAACGAAGGACTGCGACGTCCAAGCGAAGCTGAAATCTCTGGAAGAGGGATATTCAGCATGGGCGAAGACGCTGAATGGGCGTCAGGTGCGTCGTCATCCGCGTCGTAGCTGATCGTGACATCCCGTCGAAGTATTCTCGCTTTAAGAGGATTTTTCATCACTGCTGCTGTTCCTCTGTTTACAAATAGGAAATGTTACGCATCACTTTATAAATTTGTGTCATTAGTGACTACGTACGAGGCGGAGATCACACACACGTCGTCGTGAATAGTGCAGGACTCGGTGTAGCCAATAACAAAAGGACATTGGAGTGACTGCGCATGGGCCCGTATCTGTACATAATTTTACGACGAATTAGCGTATAATTGACGTGTCCATCAGCACTGCCACTGCACCTCTTCACGCAGCTCCAGCCACCACGAGTCGCGTGTTTCTTGATCCGCCAACTTGGTCGCCAATTTGCCAAGATACTTGACCGACCGAGCGCTGACAATTCCAGCCAATCGGATCCTCGTCGCTGGATTAAACACCTTCAGTGTGATCAATTGCACCTCCTAAAAAGCATAAAGTTAGCACACTAACGTCAATTCAGTTTCCCTTGCCCTTAACTAAAACTCACGTCGTGTGCGGAGATATTGAACGCTTCTGGGGCCTTTAGAGACTTCAACACACGTCGTGGATAATAGCGAGGTGACAGTAGAGCCTCGACACTTTCTCCTCCTATCGACGTGACGTCGTCCGTGTCAACATCCACATTCAGTTCACTGTCCAGTCCATCCTCGCTGTGTGCTCTCTGTTGACTGCCATTATCCGACGTCAACTCGCTCTTCCCCACTGGCGTGATGTAGCATGCAGTGCCACAAGCGCGTGCCACGAGTCCGCTATCTCCTTCCACATCGAAGAACTGTTTATAAGCCAACACGGCGTTCCCTCCGAGCTCCAACGCCTTCTTTCCGACCAAAGTAGCCACCTGAGACGACAATTTGTACAGCAATAATTGTCTATGCTCGTTACTGCGTCTGGAGGTGCGAAAACTGTCACTCCACGAATATTCCGGGTCTGCGTGCACCACCAGCTCCTCTACAAAGCCCAACATGCTTTCGATCCGATACAGACTTGGGTCTAGCGTCGACAGTCCGAAGAATTGCACGCCGGCGGAAGATTCTCGAAATGGGTTCACATCGCCAAAGTACTGAAGTCGAATAACTAAACTCAGTTCACAACGTACACCCAGTAGAGTGTCGTATACGGGGAACCAGCCCTGTATAACGTGCCCGTCCCGCATGAGCAGGCAGTTGAGGTCGACGTAGACGATGCCCACTGTGGCGTCTGTGGTGTATACGTCGTGGTCCATGAGCTTGAACTCGATGGGCTGGCTCTGCAGCACCGAGTCGTCCGCCACATCGAAGCGGAACTCCTCGTCCCATTTTGGGTTCAAAGTCTTCTTGGACACCGACGACTTGGCCTCGAAGCTCGCAAATGTGATGCTGACATATGCATCTGCCAGCTTGCTCGTGCGGTCCACCACAGGCATGTCACGGGCCTCGACAAGACGGATCTTGATCGTGCACGGCATCCTGTCTTGATCTTGGCTACAGCGTACTTGTAGGTCGGATTATGGCTACATGTGCGGTGTGTCTTCGTCGATTGGTTGAAAAGCTTTTATAAGCTAATACGATTGGGTAAAAGTGCACCGTCTCACTTTTGTGGAGAAGCTATGATGCTGCTTGCCACGTTGGCTGCGTTGTTAGTGCTGTGGCTTGTAGCGCGAGTACTTGGACGGCGTTCATTCTCTCTAGACGAAAAAGTGGTGGTGGTTACGGGAGCTGCGAGTGGTATCGGGCGCAGATTGGCTCAAAACATCTTCAAGGAGGCGCAAAACGTGACGTTGGCACTTGTAGACATTGATACCGAGTCTCTCAAGATGCTACAGACAGAGTTACTGCAGTTTCAAGACACCGGAAAAGGCAAAAGAGTGTTGATCTACGAGTGTGATGTGGCAGATTATCGGTACGAGACGTAGATGCAGCTGGTAGAAATATTTGAGTTATTTGAAGACGTCGCTCCGTGTTGACAGGACGGTGGAAGCGACAATAGCTCGCGTGGTTAATGACATAGCGCCGAAACACATCGGAGTACTTGTCAACAATGCAGGTGAGCAGGAATGATGGTCGGTTAACCAGGAATGAGAGTCTCTGACCGTAACTTGTTAGGAATCGTGATGGGGAAGTCGCTGGAAGACTTGACGCCCGAGCAGATTCAAAAGACGTTCTCGGTGAATACACTGGCGCATTTCTGGACAGTAAAGGCAGCGCTACCGTCCATGAAGAGAGCGTCAGAAGCGTTGCTAGTGACCGTATCGTCCGTTATGGGGATGACGAGCAGCGCTGGATTGACCGACTACTGCGCGAGTAAAGCTGCAGTGAATGCCTTTCACGAAGCTCGTGAGTTGGTCGTACTCTGCATTCCATATTGCAGCTGTTTACTAAATAGTGTTATGGGTTCGTAGTCCGCTTGGAGCTGTGGCGGGACAATGTCAAGTCGATTCGGACGCTGTTGGTTTGTCCTGCTGCTGTGGACACGGGGATGTTTGCTGGAGTCTTGAGTGCGGATGACTGGGCTCTACGGTTCTCGCGCTTGTGCATTCCGATGCTGTCAGAGTCTGAAGTGGCTGCTACGATCTACTGCTCGATGCGGCGTGGTGACGAGTTGTTGGTGTCGTGCTTCTCGGGGTGGAGAGGGGTTGCGTTGTCGTGGGCACCCCTCTTATCACGAGCTCTACCGGTACCGCTGTATGATATTGTAGTGCGCTTAGGTGGAGGTTTAAATGGTATGGACACGTTTGTCGGAAAACACAGTAGCAAAAGTGAGCAGGAAAAAGTCAAGGCAAACTAAGCAGAATCAGATCTTCAGCAAGTCGATCAGATAGAATAGTATTCTGCGCCGCCGACGTCGAAATCGTCAGTGAGAAGGATACTTACCTCGTTGATCAGATGGCACCACTTGTTCAACACTGTAGGATGGCTGGGGATACCCGGGTGCGGGACAACGCCACCTACTTATAGCAGAGGAATCTGGTTACGAGTGGCTGGAGCAGTGCTCGGACAATACACTAACTTGTATTTGTGGATTTGCGCAGCACTACATACTTAACAAATGAGAACATTAATAAAGTAATCAGTACTAAGTATTGTATTGTGGTCTAAAATTTTAGGTGCCACCAGTACTATCAACACCAAAATGCAGTCTCTACTTAAGATCTCCATAAAAGGATGTTTCACACGTACCTCGGACTAATTTGTAGTGTCAATAATCTCACTCGTCTTATTAAAAGGTCCACTAAAAAAACATTAAGGCATTAATAACAAAATACTGGCTTAGTACAAATTTTGCTATAGCATTCTTACTAAAAACCAAAAAGTAAGAGCTTGCATACATTGAAACTGCATTTTATTGTGGTACAGAGCTGAAAAGTGCAGAACATCTAGTTTTAGCTGCAGATCTAAGGACAGGGTGATCCTTAATTCCGAGCTGATTTCGATGACTTCCGAGTAATCTGTGACTCCCGAGTAAATTTATCATTCCCGAGTAAATTGTCGCCTACTGAAAACTGTTTATGAGCATTTGTATTTATCGAGTAACGAGGTTACGCCGGCCGACATGTGTAGCTTTTGTAAACGGAAAACAGCTATACGTATTAGAAAAGTGTCGGGCGGACACCTCAAGCAGAATGATCGGCATAAGCTTAGTGTGGATCGACACACAAGCGACTTTGTTTATTGAGAACATGGGGGAACTGTTTCTACAGTTTCCGAGGCCACTATACTGCAGCTCCCAGGCGACGATGGCAATGGTGAAACACGAGTGGGTGAAATCACTTCTTGGGCTGAGAGATAAGGGGTATTTATGTGGTCTGTAACGAAGAGGCCGTGAGGCGTTTTTAACCCCTTTATTACCGCGAATTCAGGCCACGAACCGCCTTATTTTACGTCGTAACTTACAGCATACAATTATCTAGGAGTTTGTATTAGTCTGTCTTTTCCACTTGGCTGATCATTTAGATGGGACTATAAGTTATACAGAGGTTTCCGATTTTTACGTCGTGACACTGACGACGTACTTCAGCATCGCTGACTAACAAGTACACAGATACAACTTAGCCGATCATGTGATCGGGATCACAATTCACAAACACAGTTATAACCGGAACTACACAGCACAGCAATCATATGAAACTCAACAAAATGCATTAGTAGCATTGCTAAAGACCGTACGGGAGGCTCACTAGCTCTCTTCTTTCTCCTCAGAAAAGATTTCTCGACGTGTTCCTTCTTTCGCACTTCGGCCGCCTTGGGGGCACGGCGCAGAACGCCACGCTTACCTAGGTGACTCGGAATTGACGCGCCACATTCGAAGTCGTCGTGCCACACCTGAAAACACGTTGTATCCGTGCCTCTGCGCGCCTTGGGACAGAGGAAGCACTTTGCATCACTCTGCGAGCAGTCTTCACAGTAAGTAGTCTGGTAGCTTTTCTTCTGCTCACCTCGATAGAGGAAGCACACCTTGCAAGAGCGCTGGCGCCGCTTCTGAACGCCCGATACAATCACCCAATCATCAAGCTGCTTGTGTACGTGGGAAGCGTTGCGGCGGCGCTTTGGCGCGCTTGGAGACGGTGATGGCGCTGCTGTTTTGAAGTCTTTCGTCCGTGAGCTGCGTGAGCTGCTTGTGCAGCAACTTGTACCAGTCCACGCGCTTCATTGGGGCGACGCCGTCGAGGCGACAGGCCTCCTTGTGTGTGATGTACGCGTTTACAAGCGCTAGGTCCAAACAGGACCTTAAGAATAGACCCTTTATAAGTACTTTCGGAACCTGAAAGAAGTCTGGACGGAGAACGTTTGAAGGCGGAGTTGATCATGCACATCAACTCGGCCATCCAGCGCTGGTAATCGGTCACCAGTTGGGACAGCTGAACGTCGACTGCCCCACCGTCTTCAGGTTTCTCTTGATGGTATCTTCGGCCATTGACACCCCAGTGGCCAGGTAGTGCACCGGCTTGCGGTCCCACCAGTGGCCTGCAACCATGCTGGGCACCGCAACCGACCTTGAGTACGTGAATGACCCGCGCTCTACTGTGGTTGGTCGTGTTTTCCTTCGCTCAACGACGTGCTTGTCGAATCCCAGCCTTGACGTCATGATTGTTCCAATCATGTAGACCGACATCGAAAGTAGTTGATTAGCGAGAGCAACGGAGGTGTAGAATCTGTCGACAACAATGACACGAAATCCGGGGTCGTTCTCATCCAACACAGCCTTCAAATTTCGAGTTACAGCGGCTGCTCCTGTCTTGTGGTCAAACGCCTGACTTGCACTTTCATGGTTTTGACGCTTCCCTACATTCAAGTTCGGGAACGAGTGGTTGCGTCGCTTTTTCCTCTGTGGTGCTCTTGCATGTTATATCTCGAATCTAAAGTCGTAAGTGACAACATAATGCAAATGTCAGACCATCAAGTCGAAACTTACGACTTTGCAACACTTATAAAAAAATGCGCACCTGTGGCAGTAAGCAGACACTGCGTCGCACGTCATGAACATCTTGGTGCCATAACGGTGCGGCTTGTCCGGCATAGACATACGGGTACTGTTACGCTTGGACGTTTGAGGAAGTACACCTTCGGCGAAAGAGATGATTGCAGCCACTATCCACGCAGCTAGGAATGTCATTTGAAGTACGTCAGCAACAGCTCGCAGTTTCCACAACTTGTCTCTCTTGTCAGCTGTGTCATTGTTGCAGAAATGTAGATCTCGTAGGATAGAAGTACAGCGATTTCGAGAAATGAAATTGCCAAACCGTCCCGCCGAAAGCGCGCCATCATCGGTCATAGCCCAGTGATCTGAAAACGGACGGGTAGGGCTGAGCATATGAGCTACAAGTAGACCCATGACACAAAGAATCTCGCGCGGTACGTAATCAGGTTCGACTCGTATGCGGCGGCGAACATCCCGTAGCGTTTGACCTGGTACGCTGCGTCCTTCACGAACGAGACGTGCACGTTCTTGGCGCGCCTTTTCCTCAAGGTGTGACCTTTTGTATCTGCTTGTCTCGCTCGTGATGAATGTCCACAGGTTCACCGGCATAATATAGAATAGCAATTCCAATGGAGAATCCATTTTAGCACGAAGTGCTTCCACAGGCCTAGCCGCTTGATCCTTCATACCTTTGAACGCGCTATTGTCGGTTTCATACTCGGAAGATGCAGGAGTCCACGCTATCGAACGTAGTGTAATCTGGTTCATGTCTTCGATAGATAGAGAACCCCCCAAGCAATCAATAAATGCTGCATCCATAAGAGGCGCCTCTTCTTCGTCAGATGACACGTCGTCACCAATTTGTCTTTGAACAATATCACTATCATCATCTGATCCAAAGCCATCCGACTCCGAGTCCATGCTCTCATACTCGTCTGCATTGTCCTCGTCCTTCATGATGTTCACGTCCTCTTGTAGCAAGCCACGATCTTCTCTCGAGTTTGTTCGCTCATCGTTTCGTCTCGAGTTTGTTGGCGTCACAGGCTCGACAACAGCACCATTTTGACCGGCGCATAGTGACAGCGCTACATCTGGTTCATCACCGCTCATAGCTCCACAAAATATCTCGTCTATGGTGTTTGCTGAAAGCGCAATACTTGTGTCTATCTGTGACGCCCTTGAGCTCTCATCCTCTATGTGCGGACTTGTGGCGCATAGCGGGAGTTCTGCAGGTGTCTCGCTGTCCTCGCTCTCGGATCCAAACAATGCTTCAACGGTGTTCGCTGAGAGAGCAACACTCGTGTCAATCTGAGACGGTGTTACCCTCTCACACTCTGCAGGAACTTCTGGCTCACCTTCTTCACTCTCGTCGTCTCTGTCGTCGCCTGCACCTCCCTCGTCAGCGCCAATGATGCCCTGTTCAAACGCATACTTTACTACCGCATGTTCTCCTTCGCATACACAGCACAAAGCACGTATTAGACACACTCACAATAGACTAACCACATCAGACTTACCGACAAACATGTTCACGCCCTCGATGTGTAGCTCCTTTGCAGCGTTCGGTGGGTAGTACGAGTGCAAATTGGACAGTCGCGTTGGCCTCTTTGACGTCCATCCGACACGCACGAGCTGACGCCATAGATGACCAAAATCCACATCTCGCACGTCGATTGCTGAGAGCGCCTCTGCTTGAGCTTTTGTCCCCTTGCTTGTTCTGACCGGCATCTTTGCTTGAGTCCGCAAATGCTGTACTGGTGGAGGACATCCACCGTCCACCAAACGTACGGTCCCGAGATAGTGGGACAGTGAATCCACCTACAGCCTTTTTCTCCCCTGTCGCCCACTACCTTTCCAAGCTTATATTTTTTTGCAGAGAAACAGACTTGATTAAAGTATGTGATCGTCGCATCTGAGCCATTTCCTGTTTATCTTGACAGTTAAGTCGTAACTTACGACTTAAGGTTTTCACTACGTCGTAAGGTACGACGTTGGTAACCAAGGGGTTAATATTAATCGTACTCCATGGGTCTCGACAGCACGCATACTATTCAGATTTAATGCTTGCGATGTTCTATTGATGTATTATACG